CAGTGTGTGTACAAAAGTATTCTTGCCAGGAGAAACCGGGAGCAATAAGGACAAAAAAGAAAGTGAAGAGAGAGAGAATGAGGACTGATCTTAAACTTTATGAAACTCACTCAGCCAAATTTAATGGTGGAAATATATTTTAAAAAGTTACATCATGCAGGGAATGAAAGTATGAGCAAAATAAAAATTTAGAGGCCACAGTAGGCCACTAGTTGAAATAGATTCACAGAGAAAAGTAATGAAATGCTAAAATTAATACAAACACAAATCAAAATGGGTTTCCACTCTTCCTTGTCAGAAAAGCAAGGAGACAAAGAGTAAAATACTCAGAGCGACTGCAGGCACCACAGCCTCACCCACTGGAAGTGGGAGCCAGTGCAATCATCTAAAAAGTAAACTGGCAAATATTTTTGAAATTGTCAAATATTTAAATTTTTCAAGGTCTTTAAAAATAAGTATACTTGTTAGGCCATAGTTCCTTTCCTAAGCATCAATACTAATAAAATAAAACTGTAAAAATCAGAGAGGGGGTTCACTGCAATGTAATTAGAGAAAATTTGAAAACAACACTATTTGCTACAAGAGATATTGGTTATAAAAATGATATCACTTGTAGAATGCAGCAAAGCGTAAAAATCCTGCTTCTCACAAATGCACAGTGACATGGGGAAGCGTGTGTAAGTCAGCATTAACTGAGAAAAGCAGACTGGTCAGGTGTCTGGAAGAACCAACAGGTACCAGCAGGTTCGTACAAGCTGAAGGACCCACACTACAACTCAACAATCAATTCCCTGTCGCCCGTGGAAGTTCGGAGCACTTTGCATTGACTTCTTAATTTGTTTGCATTTTCTCTGCAATGAGAATGTTCTGTGTTTATAATTTGTACAAAGGAACAACATGCATTTTCCAAAAGAAATGAGCAAATAGACATTGCAGGATCCCTCCTGTTACGCTAAAGCACGAATAAGACACAATCACAGGCCTCCGGCTGCCACCGAGCAAACCCCTCAGCTTTCAGACCTCGACAAAGCCAACAGGCTCACCAGCTCCCCGAGCCACTGCCATCCTGACGCACCTCTGTGCGAGGAACAGGCAGCTCCCAGTGGCTGCAGACTTCACTATCCAGGCAGCTTCCCAGGGGCAGGGTGGGGAGCAGCCGTCCCCCACCCTATCCTGCTTCCCTGCAGTACTGAGATCTTTCCTAGATTTAAAGACAAAGTCCGCTGGATCCAGCCACATTGGCAGGGCTTGGAGACGGTCCCTGTACGTTCCCTTGGCTGAGATTTTACATCTCAGGCTCTTCCAGGACCTTGTGCCCTGTGATGCTCCTAGGCACCAGCTATCTGGTCACTCTATCTTCCACGTCACTGACACCCTCATAACACTCTGGCCTACACTCCGAAACAGACTCCCAAGTTCTGAGTGCACCACTTCCTAAAGACATCAGGAATGGCTTCTTTTTAAATTTTATTTTATTCTTAAGTATGCTCTCTAATGAGATATTAACAAGTGTGTGTGTGTATGTGTTTGTGGTGTTTTTAAAAAAATAAAGGAATGTTTTGCAAAATAAAGCTTTACAGAAATAACTACCTTAAAGAAGATATAGGTTATGAAGAAATGGTTGTGTCTTGGAACATTCTCAAAGTGTGGCAGTCCTGCAGTGAATTTAATAGGGGAAAAATATCCACAGATTCAGTCACCCCCAATTCTGCTTACAGGGTCACACAGTCGTGGTGCCGGTGGGCACAGGTGCATGTGCACAGGCAGAGAGACTGAGGCAGAAGCACATTGCGTCTATAGAGGGTGGCCTGGGTCCCAGAACGGCCCATGAACGCAAGCTGCATTTTTTTAAGATAATGACCTTTCAACACGTTTTTTGGCCAAGGGAGAAGCTTGGGGCCTGCCCTGGCAGGTGACTCTTGTACAGTAGGACAGCAGCACTGTGTACCTGGCATGTTTTTGACTTTTACAGAATCCCCAAACAAGAAGCTGCTCACATGATATTGAGGCCAGAGGGAGGGAAAAACTTATATTGTAACTGTTAAGTTCATTAATCACATCCATCACTCATGTTTCAATTATCATCAAACTCCCCAATGTCTGTCAATTCAAAGAATGTAACTTCATCAAGCAAGTCACCAAAACAGTGCCATTGGGCGAGTCCGTGGTAACTTTCCATATCCTGTCTGCTTCCTAAGGTCTTTCTACTAACATGACTGTCCGATGTTTTCTCTCTGCAGGGCCTTCCACACAGGGGCCCTGTGACAAGGGAAGCCCACCTCCCGATTCTGAGTTTAAGGACTAAATTTTAGGATCAGTGCTCCAAAACCCTGGTTCAAGGTCTAGGTTCAGAGTCCAAAGATAGAAATGGAGTTCCATTGTAATTCTATGTATTTCCTTTGATGCATTTAAAGGCAGTATTCTGGGAAGTGATCCCGGATTTCATCAGACTTCCCGAATGGTGGAGGGCCTAACATGTCAGGGTCAGAAAAGTGTTGGGGGTGCAGATTAAAATTCCTAACTGCAACCCAGAGAGTTACAGGCTCCAGGGAATCTGCAAGTAACACTGTGTTGTTTGTGGCAAAGGTAGAGCAAGTATAGCAAGCAGCACTAGGTATGGTCAGAGCACAGGAGCCTAGGAAGCAGCAAAAGCCATTGGTGAGTCTCCTGCAAACAGGGACCTTGACTTTTCTGCTTTTATTAGAACTCTTAAGTGGCTCTGAAATGCACAGACATTCAGAGATAAATCTAAACTTCTAACATCCCTTTACTTCTTCCAATTTAAACACTGTGTTCCCAATTTCATATTACCAAGAGGGATGACGGTAAGAATCACAAAGCCCAGATAAGAATATTTAGCTTTTCAAAGTGCCTCCCAGGCTCTTGAAAACACTAATGCAAGAAAAAAAATATGCCACACAGATGTGGGGTACCAACTTCAATTTGGATCATCTGATACCTAATAGACTAATTGATTTAGTTACTGGAACAACCCAACACAGAGTGCATTTAAGACTCAAAATTGCCTGCATGGGGACTGTTTCCTAATTCCGCCAGACAGCGGCAATTTTCCCTATGCTAATTTGAGCTTTGCACTAACAGAATTAAAACTGGAATCAACAGACTCAAGGCCTCCTTTCTCCACCCTATAAACAAGGCTGTAAAGTCATCTTATTACTTTACCCAGAAAACCTCACAGAAACATGTCTTCAGGGAAGTTACCTATAAAGAGGGGCTATTTTAACAGAGGGCTTTGAAAGATTTCACTTGAAATCCAAGTTTCACTTGGGAGACAGACAATATATGTGTAATGCCACGTAATAAAACATTAAATCAAGCAGGACAACCTTCACAAGTGTAAACTATTTGCCCAAAATTTATTCAGAGAATCACAGCGCATTCAAACTTCAAAACCAACTTCATCTCTTCACGAACATATATCTTAAATTAAACACTATAACTCAGTTGTGTTTCACAAACTATACCATTCCTTTTACAGGACAGTCTGTTTTTCCAATTCCCTTTAGTACACTAATTTGGGAAGGGGGGGAATATAAGCTTTTACTCAATCTATTCAAGATTTACAAAGAATATTTGATTTAATTGTTAGAAAATACAGATATAAGGGCAAAATTAAGAACAAAAGGCATTTGGGGTTATAAAATCAAGTCATTTCTACTCATTTAGCTAAAAGTGGAACACAGAAAACCTCTAATTTTAAAGTTCCTTTCTATAGAAACTGTATTTCAGCAGATTTGAATCCTTGAAGTAAAAAAGATAGAATTTTCTATAAGGTGAACGTCTTTGGCACATGATTTTTTTTAGTATATTATTGAACACACCAGGAGAACTAAACACTAGCAGAACTTCTGAGACATGGCTTCCATGGTGAATGTTCTTCAAGTCTTTATCACAAACATATCAAATGATGAAAATACCAAACCCAGGAGGAGTTTTCAAAACGCCTCAGCCCAATTCTGGCCCAGCTTCCATCTTCGTGAGCTGTCAAGCTAACCAAATCCTTGAGGGAAAGTCGACCAAAGGCCTCTCATCTCAACACTGCAAGCCCAAGACCCGCCACACAATCAAGTTCATTTTCTTCCTTTCAGTATCTGCTTGTGCTGCTGATTCTCCCATTTCTACAAAAGTCACTGAGGCCGGTGGCCTGGGAAATATTTTAACAGAGCCACCATGTCACAGACTCGTACCATTACCATGACTCATTTTAATTTCCACCTAAGCAGATTTGTCTCCAGGTTAAAACTCTACAAAGCTATCTGCTAGGAACAGCTGCAAGAGAACACATCTGACCAAACAGCACAGAACACAGAGAACCAATAGGCCATTGCTTTCCAAACCCACAAACCCAACCTCATGTGGAAGGAATCTTACAGTGCACCGAGGAGAAGGGTTTTTATTAACGGTAAACACATAAGCTAACACACCAAATCACCATCATTCAAGTTATGACAAGGCTTGCTTCTTGCACGGCAGTCCCACAAACCAAGCCAACATTTGCATGCCCCGTTACCAACAGCTGCTTGCCCAGCGTCTCTTCCCTTCCATGGGCCCTGGCTGTCATGCCTGGTGCTAGGGAGTCCCTGAAGAGCATCCAAAAGTTCAACACCAACAAGCCCGTCTTTTTCTCTGCCCCTGCCCTCCAACCTCTTCTCTCCTGTTGCCTCAGCTCGGACCCGCGTCCAGGCACCATTAGTCACAGGAAAAAGAATCTGAAATTTTCAAAAGCACTCCAATAATCCACAGCACTGAACGGTGAATTTAGAAACCCCAATTTTTTTCTGAGTTTGAAGTTTTTAAGCCTTGCGGATGGTTGGAGTAGGAAAAAGGAAATTTACTAGGCAGTGCAAAGGAAATCTTGTTGTCCTCTATTGTGGTAGGGGGGGTGTTGCCCAACCTAACTTATCTGCCTTGATAAAGGAAGCCAAAGAAAGCCTAAGAAGAACGAGATTTTGTCAAATGAAAAGGAACCCCGTCCTTACCTTAATAGTGCTGGCCATAATGCAATCAAGTTTATTGATCGTTAATAAATGTTAATAATAATTATTGCTTCTCTCTGACCAGAAAGTAGTTTTGATGAGCTTGTTTAGAGCGGATGAGATTGTGCGAAGTCTGGGAAATGAAGTCAGCCAATGGCAGGAAGAGGTTTCTATTGGTCCTGGCCGCCCAGCCTGAAGAAACAGGATATTTGGGAGTGGAGAGATAAGAGACCCTGAAAACAATGTTGTTTTTCTTGATGATATGTAGCCAGGAGAATTTTTTTTAATTAAAAAAAAAAAAGGCACCAGTAGCCTGGGACTGGGACTGTCATAGCAGGTGTGACCGGTGTGGCCCATGTGACACTCTGTGCCAGACCCAAGCAGGATGCAGATGTGGTGGGACTCCACTTGGCTTCACGGGGACCAAGGCACTGAGGTGCCCTTCAGCCCACTTCTCCCCATCAGTGCCACCCGGCCAGGACACAGCACTTGAGCTACCTTCCCCTAAAGGGACATTTAGCAGGTGGGACTTGTTGCATGGCACTAACTGCTCATGCTTAATTGATGACCATTTGTGGGCTCTCTGGTTTTTAGCACACTTCACGACTCAACATCTCAACCAAAGGTTCAAGAACCACTTCACTGATCCTTCCAAATACACGCAGTTGTTACTTGCTCCGTGAAAAATGAGTTGAAAACCCGAAAGTCTTAAGTCAGGGTAATCAATAATAATAACAGCAATAATGATGATGATAATAATACATTTGTCACCATCATGCTTTAAAATCCAACTAACTAAAATTGCTACAAACATTTCAGTGAGCCAGTCCCACACAGATGAATAGTGACACTGCAGGCACAGATCCAGGGAGGACTCGGCTAATGCAAGCCACAGCATAAAGACCGAGTTAAGAGAACAAAATCCATCCTGCAGGTTCAGGGCCACACTTCAATTTACCACTCAAAGGAAGCAGGCCAATGCAGCCTGAACATTCCTTAGAGGATTTCAGGCCTTTAATTACTCATTTTCAGGAAATTACTTGGTCTCTGGAAGAAACAACATTTTGCTTTGAATGTGGCTACACGAAAGTTGACCAGAAAGAGGTGTGGTCACCACACGGACCCAGGGAACACAATAGGCCAAAACCTGAGTCGTGGCCAATTCTTGGTTCCAGAGGTGGCTGTTCAGTGACTTGAGCTCATTCAGAATTCAGACCTACGTCGGGGATCCACACACGATCCCCTTTCTCTGTCTTTCATTGTCCCCCTGACTCACCCCCTTGTGTTAGGAGAGGAGGAGGAGAAAGGTGAGAAGGAAGAGGAGGGAGAAGAGAATTAAGAAGGAAGAAGAGGATAAAGAGGAGGAAGAGGCAAGAAGAAAAGAAGGGAGGAGCAAAAGAGGAAGAAGGTGAGAAAGCAGAAAGCAAAATACCCTGGAAGAACTCTCATTCTGTGTCAGAGTTGTACCCTGATCTGTTCCCAGCATCTTCATTTTGAGGGATGTTGACTTCCGCCCTTTTCATCTCTGAACAATGAATAAGATGGCAGGCTGATTAAGACTGTGTTTTCCCTAAAATTTCAAAGTCCTGAGTTGTTTGATCTGAGCAGCTTCCACTAGAATTCAGGAGGGCTGAGAAGGATAAATTTACAAAACCTCTCTAGCTCCACTGAGATTTCTGGCCTTGTGTTTTCTCCTAGGAAGAATCGATCTGTAATGTTAACTGCAGTTCTGCACTGAGCAGCTCTGTGGCAGGGATTTGCCAAACATTGGCTTTAAGCAAGATGAACCACTGGCTAACAAAAGAGCCATGGAAGAAACTTCAGTGTGGTCACTTTACCCAGCCCTTACTGGTTCCCCATGGCCTGAGAGCGTTAGCATTTTTAGGTCTAACTCTTCCTCATGATCTACTTGGTTCTGGCCTGATCCAAATCAAACAGTCCATGATGAAATGTTTTAAGTCTTTATTTCCAAACAATAAAAATTTATAGGAAAGTTATAATGTAAAACAAAGAACTCCTCACACCCTTTTGCCCAGTTACTCCAACTGTTGGTAACTTACATCACTTGTTTTGTTCTGTCTCTCTCACAAACCCTGTCTTTCTTTCACATGTTTATATAATGTAGCCATCCTTATTCTTCAGCTAATAAAAAGAATGTTGTATTAGAGACTAATTTCTGTGTTTCTGGGCTTGCATACTTATAAAAAGAAACCAGATGTTATAATTTGATCAATTTTGTAAAGATTCCACCCATACATTTCATTGTGTCTAATTTTGAAAATGCATAAAATTTTAAAAAAGTGATAGGACAGAATGATAATTTGGGGATCATGAATAATAAATGATGTTACAAAAATCTAAAAAGACAAATCTTCCTCATTTCTTTTTTTAACACCTCCCTCATTTCTAATGACCAATTGATATCCACCTTTTCAAAGAGAATAATTCTTAATATCTAGACTAGCATAACAGAATCTGGTTGGGTGATCTCGGGGTATTTAAGGTAAACATTTCATTCAACTTTGCTTGGCTATTGGTAGGAGACAAGCATAGCACCATCTCCCACCCATCTCCCTAGGGGGAGTTATCTGAACATGGAGACCTCAATCAGCCTCCCCAGACTCTCGTCTGGAGTCTGTGTTACCTGATGGCCTCAGCCCTGGATCACCCAGTAGCTTAAGGAACTGGGTGTCTCTCCACCCAGGTGCCACCCTGTGTAGGGGAAGGGGCTCCTCAGCCCATCAGGCACATCCAGTAAATGGCAACATGCAGATGGTCTCTACCTGGAGACCATCCTGCCATGAGCCTGGCAGGACAGAGAAACTTGTCCACCCTCTTTGAAACTGGACAAGGATGGCCTGTGAGTGGTGTGGATGTGGTGCCTATGAATGAGTCACACATTTCTATTTTGCAATTATCCCTCATGAACCCATCACGCATGGGTTCACCAGAACCCTCTGGAAGTCTGCTCATGGTTTGCTCCAAATAAAAGAGAAAATAATGCAGGATACAAAGACTATACGGCACCGTAATGGTGCAAAATTGTAATGATCCACTTGTCCCAAACAATGCTGCCCCATTTTCTGAAGTTTCCACTACTGCTCACCCTCTTCCCTTATTAACTGCTCCAGGCGGGGGAAGTCAAGAGTGCAGAGCACATCAGAGAATAGAAATATGGCTCTAAAATGATATAGGATCACAAAAAGAATCATGAAACACCTTTTCATTGGAGACTATGATCTATTTACTTATTTTTCCCTAGATTAAACATCCACACAACAGGAAAATATTCCAGGAAATGACACTGTAGATGAATACTTTGAGGTGGAAAACTGCCCTGACGTGCTACCGGACAAGTTAGAAATCACCGTGGAAAGGAGAAAGCTTCCCAGACTTAGCTGATTAAAAAGTAAAAGGCAGTTTATACTTTTATTACTAATGATAGTGAATCTTTTCTTTTGGATTTCCTCACTTTTCCTTTTTTTTTGTATTTTCAAAACATTTGCAATGAACATAAATTATATTTTAATGTAAAAGACATACAAGTAACATATCACATTCTGTTTTTGTAAATATCTGAAAATGCAGGCATGCTCTGTACAGCATCACATGAAATTTCTATGGCTGACTGACACTTTATGTGTGCACACCAAAATTCACACAGCATAGTTCAGTATCTACAGCAAGGATACCATCACTTTTCTGAGGAATTTTAGCAGGAAAGCACAGAAGACGCTCCTGGGTTTTGTGGTGGGGTCGTCTGTCTAACATTAATCCATCCAGCTAGTATTGAATGACCTGGAACTCTGGTGGGCACTGAGGAACCCAAGATGACAGACTGCCCTGTCACTGGTGTCTTAGCATTCGGGAAACCCAGGTCAGTCTACTCACATTCCACACACAGAACAGCAAAGCCTGGAGCCGATCCATGAAAGAGCAGGCTTTTTAAGGGTAAAACAATGGGATGAAAATGCTCACCATTGTCCCTAATATGACACACAAGCCTTAAAATGCATGACATTTGGATTACTCAGGAGAGCCCTGAAAGAAGGATGTCCCAAGGGTTTTTGCCAGGGACATGCCTGAGCCTGGAGATAAGAATCGAGCCTCTGGAGCTGTCCACGATGGAAAACTACAGCTGCATGGGACTTTTCCGCCTCTGTCAACTGCAGGATTTGCCTGGGAACAAGGCACTCTGACCCTCGAGGTCGCCCACTCCACACTGGGTAATGGCCGAAAGTTTCTCCGTTCACAGCTCCGGGGGTAAAGTGCGTGCATGCGTGTGTGCGTGTGTGTGCATGTGTGTGTCTGTGTGTGCGTGTGCGCACATGTGTGTGCGTGTGTGTTTGCCAGAGGCTTAGCACTAGAGTAAGAGAGCGCAATTACGATTTAAATAACTATTGTTTCAACAGTCTCTCTGAGTGGTTACTACGCTCTTCTGGCCCTTGCTTGATATGAACTAATCCAAACCAAGGAAACTATTATCACATACTGAATCCTCACTTCTCAACACCAAACTGCAACTTCCTTCACTTTGCAGCAGAGCAGCTCAATTCTAGGGGCTCAAATGAAGCAACGATTTCGATAAGCACAGTTTCCTAAGCATCCCACACATTCTCAGGTTTATGCTAACTTTGCTTTCTCAACTCCATCTGCCTGTAAAAATGCAGGAATATTAAAACCGTTATCAGGGACTGCAAATATGTCAATGTATTATTCGTGGTTTTAAAAAAAAATCTGAGAGGAAAGTAATTACTTCGACACAATAGTTTAGCTTAAAGGAACTTTTAAGTTTCCTGATTCAATTACCATGTTTCTATATATAATTTGTGAACAATTAAATACATTTCAAGGTCTTTATCCGGGTAACTAGGCAGAGCTGAGCCCAGATGTTATTATCGTCATCATTTTACTACCTTGAGGCTAGATCTGCCCAAAGGGCAGAGTTTGGGGGGATGCAGAAGCAACTGGCTGTCCTGGCTACAAGGTGCCGGCAGCTCTGCTCCTTGTCAGATACCCAGTACTGTGTCACAGGCACTAGCCGGTAGTATACTCGGCCACTCTGAGGAGGTATTGTGGGCTGCCGAAAGTCACTTCATA